GGGAAGGGGCGGCTATACTGTATAATGGGCACTAGGGGCAGCAGAGGGTGGGGTGGGGAAGGAGCGGCTATACTGTATAATGGGCACTGGGGCAGCAGAGGGTGGGGGTGGGAAGAGGCGGCTATCCTGTATAATGGGCAGCACAGAGTGATGACACCCCATGGCGATAATCGGGCCTGGAGCAATAGCTCTGAGATGTGCAAACGGCTCCATTCTGCTCAGTGGTTGTTCCCATTCCCCACCCCCAGTGGCAGTGCTGCAGGTCCTGTTCCATGCACCGATGACGCCTGTTCTCAGCTCCTTCCCCTGCTCTCAGCTTTGTGTGCCTGGTGCCGCTCCCTGCATGCCCTTTCTTAGCGCACATCAAGCACCGGCGCGTCCTCACGTGCTGGGTCAAATGACCCCAAATTTGGATCAGTAACCCTAAGGGGTGCACTTTGGCAGAGGGTGAGAGGGGATGCAGTAGGGGGCATTCCACCTTTGGAATCAGAGCTGACCCAAATGCCCCAACATGGTGCTGGGGGCAGAGAGCAGGATGGGTGACTCAGGTGTCCTCTTCTGTGCCGCTGTGTGTGCATTTTTCTACCAAGCACCCAGCCACTCCTGCTCATTAACTCTCCCCTGGCAATGTGGGTTAATTCTGCTGCCCGGGTTGCATCCCAGAATTGGGGAAATCTGCCTCCCGCGGTGCCATGCGGATGTGACATCCTGACTCGGCACCAGGACGCCACCCAGTGCTAGTCACCAGCCCCCCCTGCACCCCGGAGGGTGCTGGGATGGGGACCCCAGTGCATAACGAGGGGCAGGTCATTGTGATAAGTGCGAGCAGAGTATGTCCCAACCACCCTGCCATTGGTCAGGGCAAAGCTTCCCCTTTCGATGGGGCGTCGCCGCTTCTTGTGGGCCCGGATTATGAAATACTTAACGTCAGATATTTCTCTGCCACCAGTTCCCTCTTCTATTGACTCCCATGCAGCCAGGGGGAGGCCAGCTCTGCAGACAGCTGGATCGATTCTCCGGGGGAAACAGAGGCACCAGGATGAGGGTGAGTGGGAGAGCACAGGAGAAGGTGACTGGTATAATCCAGGCAGGGTTGTTCAGCAGTTTAGCTGGTAGAGAGGAACGGTAGGAAATGCACCAAAGAGGAGTTCAGACAAGGCTCTTCTCTCCCCTAGGCTCCAAAGCTTTGTACAAAGAAGATGGGTGTTGCTTTACAGGGGGGGAAACTGAGGCAAACAAAACTGAAGCCGCCTACAAGAGGTCAGTGGTAGAGCCAGGACTAGAATCTAGGGCTTGTGAATCCCAGCCATGCCCCCCCCCATCCCTTGTTCAAGGATACTTGGCTCTTAGATGGTGCCCACTAGCTGCAAAGACCTGAGAGCTGGGGCGTTCAGAGCTGTGATGATTCTCTCGTGGGCACTCCAGCAGCAAAGACCTGCTCCAAAGGCCTCAGGGGAAAGCCTCAATTGCTATTGAAGTCTCCTGATGCAAATGTGGGGTTGTTTTGCTGGGGGTGTGGGCTCTGGGGTGGGGCCAGGGATGAGGAGTTTAGGGTGCAGGCTGCCCCAGGGCTGGAGTCAGAGGACTCCTCCCAGCCCTCTCCCTGCTAGCAGCAGATCCGGGGCCAGGGCCGAGGCGCCTGTCCTTCCCAGCGGCAGGAGCTCCGGGGCCGGGGGAGAGGCCCGTGGCAGCCTTGCGCGCCCCAACTTGCTCCGCTACCCTCCCCAGTCCCCGCCCACCTCCGACCTCTCTTCTCTCCAAGCCCCTGTGGCTATCCGCCTGTGTGGCCCTCGGCCGTACAGCTTAGAGGGAACTTAGCTGGAGGGTCCCAGCTGAAGTGAAGTCGGGACCCAGGGGCCGAGCCCTATCGCTTTGCAGTGTAGACGCAGCCCCGCTTGACTCCGGTCCTGGGAGTCAGACGGAAGTATCCCACAATTCCACGGGACAACTTCCTTAGTCCTCTCTCGGCCACAGCTCAGGTCAGCATGGGCCCGTTCTCTTCTGACCACATGCACTATCAGAGAGCTGCCTGGGTTGGCAGCGGAGAGCGAACCCAGCAAGCCTTTTGCAAAGCCAGCTGCTTCCTGCTCATGGGCAGGGCGGGCAGGAAAGTTTTCCCATGGGCCCTAGGGATAGTGTGGCCATATTGTGGGATGCTAGGGGGTCTGCAGGCTGCAGTGTGGACACCAGATCCCCAGGTTTCAGCCTGGGTTAGAAAAGCCCTTCGGTTAAAATACCACATAGACGCCCAAGCTCAGGGTTCCCAACACGGCTCGGCTGAGTGGAGTCCCACTAACCCTGGGCTTACACTGCAGTGTAGATGTACCCTTAGGAGCAGGGGAAGTTTGGCAGCACAATCCCCGGGATTGGCAAGCATTCAAAGTGCTCTAAACTCCACCCGCCTGGGCAGAGCGCCTGGACGTTTGGTGTGGCACATCGGTGTCTGGGGCATTGCCAGGGTCACTCGGGCAAGGGGATCCCTTACAAAACGCTCTGCTTTACATGAACGACTAGCAGACCAGCTCGAAAATGGCTGGGCCACGGCTGGGGCAAAGAGAAACTCGGGGGAGGGGGGAAAAGCTAGGGTGATGCCACTACCATGAGGCCATTTAAATACTGTATGCTATGTGACAGAGCGACACTGGCACCCTCTAGTGGCCGCAGCCTTCAACGAGGACGAGCCCTGAAATCACTGTAGCGGGGGTGAGTCGCCCACAGGGGGTCCGTGCTGTGCTGGTCTCATGTTCCCATCTCACACCCACCTCCCCCTTTCGCCCCTCCTGCCAGCAATGAAGACAAGGATGGGTCCAGGCCTCCTGCTGCTGATTTTCCTCTTGCCGGCCTGCCTGGCTGCGGCCGGAAGAGAGACGCCCTACGAGAAGTTCCAACGGCAGCATGTCGACACCTCCGGGAGCTGGGAGCCCGACCCCAACCGCTACTGCAATCTCATGATGCCACGGAGGAACATGACAGTGTTCAACTGCAAAGATCTCAACAGCTTCGTCCACGGGGCGCTGGCGATGATAACCGCTGTCTGCGGCTCAGGGGGAACACAGCATCACGGGAACTTTTACTACAGCAACTCTCCCTTCCAGGTCACGGACTGCCAGACAACGGGAGCGTCCCACTGGCCCCACTGCGTTTACAGGGGAGATGTCCACAGTAAGAGAATTTGTGTCGCCTGCAAAAATGGGCAGCCTGTGCACTACGCCCGGCCGTCAGTGTGCAGCGGCCCGTGAGCCATGGGGCAGACATGGAGCCCTGCAGCTCCCCTGGGCTTTGGCAATGCTGGCAGCCCTGCACACCCGTAGCTGCCGGACGCCGTCACCACCCTCCTCCCCAACAGAGTATTTCGGCACCTCATTGGGGACAGCAACAAAGGCTGTTATTCCTTTTTCTATGGCAAATTATAACTGCCCCCTCCCCAGCCTGCCCCCGCTGCTGCCCCCTAGTGCCCATATACAGTATAGCTGCCCCTTCCCCGCCCCCACCCTCTGCTGCCCCTAGTGCCCATCATACCGTATAGCCTCCCCTTCCCCACCCCCACCCTCTGCTGCCCCCTACTGCCCATTATACAGTACAGCCGCCCCTTCCCTGCCCCCACCCTCTGCTCCCCCTAGTGCCCATTATATAGTATGGGCACCTTTTCCTCATCCTTTATCCATGGAGGGTGAGGCGGAGAGGGGTCAAAGTGCAGAGGAGATGTTACCAGGTTGAGCCCTGGATACTGTTTTCTCTTGCTTCTTCCTGCAGTAAAATACTTTTTGCAAGTGCAGAATGGCTGGGGGGGTGTTTGTGGGGGATTTGCTATAGGCAAGACAGCACTCTCTGTTTCCAGTGCTTCAGTAGCAGCAGACAAACATGACTGTCTTGCTCAAAAGGGGTGGGGGATGGGACATGGGGCCTTTCTCCTCTAGGGGGCACCAGCTGCCATCCGGCCCCAGGGCAGGTACTGGCTGGCTCAGGGGGCGGGGAATGGGATATGGGGCCTTTCTTCACGGGAGGCTGGTTTCAAACAATTTTCCTTTCCCATGCGACGCCAGTGGGAGACAGCACGTGGGGAAAGCTGGGTGTGAAAATCTCCCGACACGGTGCAAATCCCCTTGGGTTTGATGTCTCACATAAAATACACCCGATACACAGGGACAAACCAAAGCAGCGGTGCCCAGGCAGGGCTGCAGCATGTGGAGACACCCTCAGCCCTGGGAGAGGGTCGTCAAAGCTGGGAAATTCATGGCAAGCCGCCAAACGGCCCATGAAAGATGTGAACACCTGACCCCGCACTTCACAAGCCCAGGGCAGGAACCCCTGGGCTACAGGATTAAGTGTGTTGTTTTTCTTCATTAAACCCCCATTTCCTTCCCCCCCCCTTGCATCTACTCCACCTTCCCACTGGGGTTCTGGTTGGCTCCCGGCCGGGCCTGGTGGGGCTGCTCCAGATGGAGGGCTCTGAAAATAGGATCCTGTAGCAGCCAGCCCCCCTCACACACACACACTAGCCTCCTAGTCCAGATGTGTCAATTCCCAGATGGGTTTGGGGAGCATGAGCCAAGGAATTCATGGCCCAGGCCCCAAAGCACGGGGCTCCTGGCAGGATTTTAGCCCACAGCAGTGGAGGTCACCGCTAGGCCAGCCAGACCCTGGAAAGTGCTACCAAGTCCCCCCCAAATGAGCTATCTCTCTCATTCCTCTCTTAGGGGAGCTGGTGTCTGGGCAGAAAGACTTCTGGTGGTCCCTCCCGTCCGATGACAGGCACAATTGGGCTCTGTCGGATGCGGGTTAATTTCCTCCCATGACATTAAACAATCAGAGGTCACGGCTGCTTCTAACCAGGATTTGAACCCACGACCACACACGTGGTAAACAACGTGCACAGCCCAGGACATGGGAGCTCCCAGTGCTCGGCTTGATGGCTCTGTCCCAACCCGCTCGTGGCCTCTCCTGGTGCCAGAGGTGTTTCCTGTACCAACAGCCACAACCTTGCAATGGAGATACGCCGATGGTCTTTGTTCCCAGCTGCATGACTTTACATTTAGCCAGATCCAAACACACATTGCTTGCTTAGGCCCAGTTTACCAACAGATCCACATCATCCTCTAGCAGTGACCACCCTCCCCTTCATTAGTTACCATCCCCCGTCTTTGCTGCAAACTTGATCTGTTTTTTCCAGTCTGTTGATACAAACGGTCAATAGCCCAGGAGATCCACCTGGTCCATAGGAGGCCCAACCTGGCAAGAGGCGAGGGCCCGAACCCTGACATGGTCCGGGGGAGAGGAGGAAAAGTGTGGCCCCTAGATCTGGGCGTCAACACCCGCCACAACGGGGGCCCCGATCAGGTCGGGGTCTGGGCAGCGACCAGCACAACGGGGGCCCTGATCTTGGTTGGGGTCTGTGCAGCTGTGACCCTTAGCATCCCCGCATGCCACCTGGCAGAAGTCCCTCTGTTCTGTAACTCCTCTGAGGCCCAGCACACTCACTGCCCCTAACAGGGCGCTATCACAGTATTTCTCTGCGAGGCGTAACAAAGGAAAGCTGGTGACACACTGCTCGGTAACACCATGGCCTGACGTAGGCATGGACGGAGCACAGAGTTATGTGTTTGTGCCACACAGATGGTCCTCACACGTGTTGCGAGGACAGACTTGATCTACGAGTTCGTCCTGACACAGGAATGTGGCTTTACCGCTCTGCCTGAGGCCAGAGACTTGGGAGTTACATGCGTCTGAGTCAACAGGAAAAGCCAGCTGAGAGCCGGGTGAGGGAGCCAGGAGTGTGTCGGCTGATTGGAGAACTGTCAGCGGGGCAGAGGCCTTTATCTAGGGGTGCTTGTCTAAGAGCAACTGGACTATAAGGCACAGGGGAGACATCTCCTTTGTGCCCATCACTCCAAGGGGCTGGCTTTGTCCATACGGTGGATCCCCTGCCATGCGGGAGGGTGATGCTGAAAAGTTGCTTTGGGTTAGTGTGACCTGCCGGGGGAGGGGCAATCTGGAGAGCTGAAGACTCGTGTCCCCTTTTACCTGCCTCTGCCTGGGACGCCCGCAGGCTGCAGGGAGCAGCCGCTTCGCGTCTATGCATTAGGCAGTCCTGAGCCAAAGTTTCAAGTTCAGGAGCCTGCCTGCAGTGCCACAGCCGTCCACTGGTCCCCCCAGCATTGATTAACTCTTCCCAGCCCCGATTTTCCCCAGATGGTGCATTCTGCACCATACGGCCCTCTTCTGGGCAGCTCAGATATTGAAGATCCGTTCCCTCCCCCCTCCAGGGAGGGTCAAACCAAGTCTGTTATTTTAACTGGAGTTATCAAATGATTCACATTAAACACAGCACTGGATGGGTTCAGATTAAAGATAAAGCAAGTTGATTTACAGACTCAGTGAGAGCATTCAAGTGAGTTCGAGCATCGGTCATGAAAGTCAGGAAAGACAAGAGAAATGAAGATAAAACACTTCCCTGCAGCAAAAACTTAACAAGCTAGATTTGGTTGAAGGGAAAATCCTTCCCACATGGTCCCAGCAACTTGGCAAACCAGATCTCAGGTCAGGATCAACCCCCAAAGCCAAAAAGCTGGTCCCTTTGGCTTCTTAGGGGACTGAGAGATGATCTGGGGTGTTTTTGCCCCTCACTTTAATAGTCCAGTCACGCTCTGAAATGCAGTTTCTGGAGGGTTACCCCTAGTAAAGGTCATTCCCGCGGTGAGGACGGAGACACAGGGTCTCATGGTGACAAAGCCCCTGATCCTTGGCAAAGACAGGCTGTTTGACTAGTGAGGGCCCCTCAACTTGCTTACTCCTGACCAGAGTCATCGGCTTGTGCTTTGTCTTTGTGAACCCAGTTCAGCCTGCCCCCAGACTCGCCTGGCAAACACGTTGCAGTCATACTCTCAGCTCATGTTCATAACTCTGGCTATGCATTTCGTGCACAAATTCCACATGAATATTACCCATCAGGCTGTCATTACTCTTTAAATGCTACCTCGCATGGCATCCTTGGCATGGAGATTATGACAATAAGTGCAGGGTGTGAACACGGGGACTCAGGGTCACACTGAGGTGCTTAGCTACGGGTTTTCGCTGGCTGAAAGCAGGTTGAGTCACTAGGAAGTGAGGTTATACTTGTGGTTTATCTGTGACCATTTTCTGTCTCTATTCTCTCTGCTTTGTGGCACTTGAAGCTCTGTTCTTTAGTCCTAAACGTACCCTTGTTTTGTTAGAAATTCATCTCACTGCCCCTAACTGTCACAGTATTTCTCTGCAAGGCGCAGCAAAGGAAAACTGGTGACACACTGCTCAGTAACACCATGGCCTGACGTAGGCACAGAGGGTGCATAACGAGGTATGTGCCACACAGATAGTCCTCACACGTGTTTCAGGGACACACTTGATCTACAAGTTCGTCCTCATCACAGGAATGTGGCTTTACTACTCTGACTAAGGCCGGAGACTTAGGAAGTTACATGCGTCTGAGTCAACAGGAAAAGCCAGCTGAGAGCCGGGTGAGGGAGGCAGGAGGGTGTCGGCTGATTGGAGAACAGTCAGTGGGGCAGAGACCTTTACCTGCCTGTCTAAGGTCAGTTGGACTATAAGGAGAAGGGGAGAGATCGCCTTTCTGGCCACCACGTCGGGACATAGCAGCTGGGTCTCTCTGTAGCTTTGCACAGCGGGTCTCTAGCCACGTGGGAGAGGGACACCAAGAAGTCACATTAGGTAAGACTGGGAGCTTCGCTGTGGATTGTGGCCGGCTGAGGGCAGGTTGAGTCACTGGGGACGGAGGTTGTACGTGTGTTTTCTTTGTGACCATTTTAGCCTCTGGTCTCTCTGCTTCATGGCGCAGAAACTCTTTTCTTTAGTCAGGACTGGACCCTGGTTGGTTATAAATGCATCTCAGTGCTGTGATATTGAAGGGAGGGGTGGGTACCCAGTAGGGTTACCATATTTCAGCACGGAAAAAAGAGGACGGGAGGAGCCCCGCCCCCGTCCTGCCCTAGCCCCGCCCCCGTCCTGCCCTAGCCCCGCCCCTTCCACTCCCCGCCCCCCTCAGAACCCCAACCCTCCCCCTGCTCCTTGTTCCCTGACTGCCCCCTCCTGGGACCCCTGCCCCTAACTGCCCCCCAGGACTCCACCCCCTATCTAAGCCTCCCTGCCTCTTGTCCCCTGACTGCCCCAACCCTTAGCCACACCCCCACCCCCAGACAGACTCCTGGGACTCCCACGCCCCATCCAACCACTCCCCACCCCCTGACAGCCCCCCCC